CCCTGAAGTGCTAATCATAAACAAGTTCTGCTAATGCGCTACACCACCATGGCATTTAGCAGAAGCTAATGCTAAAGCTACACCACCATGGCATTTAGCAGAAGCTAATGCTAAAGCTTCACCACCACGGCATTTAGCAGAAGCTAATGCTAAAGCTACACCACCATGGTGTTTAGCAGAAGCTAATGCTAAAGCTACATCAACAGCTAGTACTAAAGCACTAAATTCAAGTCGGATTATATCCGGCCTTGAAAACCAAAACCCTAATGCACCAATTTAATCTTTATAATTTAAATGTTTTATAATTCCTTTAGAAATTATATTTGTTTATTTTGCTCTTTACTCTCCATATTTTGTTTGTTCCTGTTTGAAATAAAGTTATTGAGAAAAAAGAAAAAGAATGTGAGGAGAGGAAATGGAAATGTTGCATAAACGGACTTCACTCCCTCCAAAATAAGAGCATGAATATAAATGTCATTACTTCTTAACAGCTGGTGGCTAAAACTTCAGCACAGATGTAACTTTATTCAACTGAAAGTTTACAAGACACCTAGATAAATTAATTTTAGAATTAATCTTGAAAACTTAATTTAGAGGAAGCTAATTGTGCTAAACATTAGCATAAGCGCTATTTGACTTAGCTTCACTATTAGCATATTAGTGGAAGTGTGCCTACTGTACAGAGCAGGTTCTTATAAAGTTGGATAAGTTTTAGGTTTATAATATTCATATTAAGGGCACAAATGGCTTATTTCCAAAATATTCCTACAGAAGAACACCAGAAAAATAAAAACTAATCATAATTTCCAGACGTGTTACTGTAAGTGTGCAGTTTAAACTGATGCATTTATGATCAGAGTCATTACTGGCATTTTCTCTGAGCGATTCTCTGAGCTGTCGAGTAAAGAGGAGGGATTGATGCTGCGCCGCAGCTTCACTTTAAATCTCAAGGGAAATTCGCTAATCATCATGTAAACAACCAAGAAGAAGATGATAGGGTTCTCCATCTACCTGCCTATTTACCTTCCAGTGATTCACTTCCCATTTATCAGCCATCGCTCAGGTTTGAAACGCTGACTGTCTCAGAAAGTGTTTCTCCGTTTTGCTGTACAGCTGTGTAATGGCTAAACGATAGCTCAGTTCGCTTCATTTCCCACACTGCATATATCTCTGAGCTGGAAACCACAGGTGCCCTTTCAGGTAATCCATTTTCTTGTCTCATATTTGCATATATGCATAATGCATGACAAAATGGCATCCCTAGGAGAGGGCCCAATGAGAGAAGACTATTTTTAGTATGCACCTGGCATCAGAACCACCCATCCTGATATCTCAGGTTCAATTAGAAAGGTTTGGTGCCAGCAAGGAAGGCTGCGCTGTGAGGGCTGCGTTTGGATGCTTAATGCTCTCACAGATTACACGCCGCGCTTTTTGTTCCCCAGAGTTGAAAATAATCTCTCCAAACAGGAGCAAATGAAAATATGAACATGCTTTTAAACACAGCATCGCTCAGTCAAGGTGGCAGCATAAAAATAAAGGATGCTTTCATCTGTTCTGTATATCAAAGGAAAAAAATGTGGACAAAGAAGCATTAATCTCCAACACAACAGAAGGAAGAAAATAAAAACATACAGATGAAAAGAAATGGTGCCATTTTTCATTGTGACATATTTTCAGTGGGATTTGTGTGGATCTGAGTTTCTGGGCGTGTTCCCCGGACCCGGGCCTTTCTGCTCCCATCAGTCACATGCAGCTCACTGAGCTCTGCAGGCACAAAATTATACTGTCAAACTCAATAATAACAGTAAGCATATTGAATTTCTGTAGCTTGTCCTACACGTTCCAAAGTCTGCAGATTAAATTGTTTTGCAAGAGTAAAGAAGGCTGACGAGTTTATCCTTCTCTCATCTTATTTCTGTCTCCGTCGATTATTGCTTCACTCTGTGTTTGACGTTTATATAAAACAACAGTATTTTCTTCCAGTGGGGGACTTCAGGTAAGACTTTTTCACAGATAGTATTAATGTGAGAGTTCTTCCGTTAACCAGCGTCTTCTTCTGGCTGGAGGGAAAACAGAAGCAGGTCAGGTTCTGTTTGAATCTCACCGTGACCGGATTCTGCTTCCAGCTCTGCACTGCTCATATTCACAGCCTTCAGGAAGTATCAGACATTTTATGTCCTTACCAATATCTTTACAAATTAAAATGTGAAAAGTGTGGCATGCATTTGTATTCAGGCCCTCTGAGTCCACACTGCTGGGTTGATGATGGACGTTCTCTAAATGTTTAGTCTGAGGCCAGAGCCAGAACAGCTGCACTGAATTTGGGTTTTGGTATCAGAATAAAGGATTAATTTTCTAGATTTTTATTTGATGAAAACATTTGAGGCTTGGCATTCTGTCATATGAACTTCAATCTCTATTAATGAGCAAATTTTGGACTCATTATAAACCCATTTCACTGTGTTTCTGTTGGTGGTTGTGATGTCACAAAGTGAGAAGATTTTAGTGCTTTAAAGTGTATTTCTTGTAAGATCAGAACTTTAACGTATTAATAATTAAATAAATAGATTTTAATGTGTTAAACTAAATGGTTTGTTGGCCAACAATGGCTCTGGCCGGAACCTTTGTATTCACTCGTTTCCAGGACATCCGTAAATCTGACACACAAGGACCGTCCGCTAGCAGCAACGATGGGCGAGGAAGCTGCTTCCTCTGGTCCACTGGACGTTAATTTCTGCTTATAAATCGATCTGATTGGACGCTGGGAAACACCGTTGTGTTCAAGTTATGCTAAAAGCAGCTATAGCCTATCAGCGAAGCTATGCTAGCCTAAAATAACATCTCAAAGCTAAACAAGCTAGCAGCACATCCGTCCCTAATGCTAAAGTGTTCCTGAAACTCTGGAAAGCTGAATTTGCACCAATTTGATGGTTGAAGAACAGATTAAAAACTTGAAATGTCTTTGTTTTTGATCTCATATGTCTATTTATTCAGAAACCTAACAGTAAAAATCTTTTTTCTAATTGAAAAAGTTGCTTATTTTGACAATTAAAATGTGATTAAATAATTACATACCCTGTAATAAACTAGATTTAAATTTGAACCACTAGTTTTATCTGATCAAAACATGAAATCTGCATTGTTTTGAGACTAAAGTTGCATTTCCAAGGATTCCTGTGTTTCTGTGTGCATAAATCTGTATGCAGGTGACTTTGTGTGAGATGTCTGCAAGTCTATTGCAGCAGGGAGGGACAGAGAGAGATCGCTATCTTCATGATGGATTGCAGAGAGGAGGCGATTTAAAATATTATTAGAACTCAGTTTGTGGCTTGCTAAAGGGTTCTTGCTTCTCCTGTGTGTCTGACTCCTTGTCTGCTCCACTTTCAAATTATGCAACAAATAATCGGCAGCAGTGGTTTGTGTGCATAAATTAGTTTTGTGTAAAACAGGAAACAACAACGTAGCAGTGATCTCTGTTCCTCTGCATCGACGCTGCAGCATCCTCAGCTTCCTCTGTTTTTTGCAGAACAGTTTGGTTATGCAATTAAAGCATAAAAAGTGATAGCGCAGCAAAACAACAGTCCCAGTTTAATTCGCGTCTAATGACAGAGCTGCTAAGTGGACCCCTGCCTCTGGAGGTCTAGGACAGGAAAAACCTCATTAACTTTTTTGTGCGTCTCCGTTTCCCCCTTCAGAGAACGCCCCAGCCTTATCTGTTGAGTGATTAGATGTGCAATGAAGAAACATTTCTGTATACATGTAACGTAGTCGGAGCCCAGTGGGACCGTCCCCCAGGGAAATGCAAATTATCTCGTTTTTCTGTGGAGGGAGAGTGAGGAGAGGAGACAGGGCTCTGAACGGTGGAAACATATTTCTCCCTATATCATGTTTTCCATGAGTTTGTGTGTTTTTGTTTTTCTCCTGTAAGGTCAATAACTCAGCCATGACATGAATGATTTATGCTTGGCCTGATCTGAAAACGCTGGTCCAGGTATTGATCGCTTGCTATTGACTGAAGAGCAGAGTGTCAGATGCAGTTGGGGAACACGAGGCTTCAGTATTAATGTGGTTTTGTTTTCTGCTCATTAGGCCCGTCCTCCATCTACTCTGCTGCCGATTTTGCCAACAACATGCAAGTGGTCTGACTGTAAGCAAAGCTGAGAAAAGTATTTACCCCTAAAAGGTTTTTTCTCCTAGCTAAATGTTTCAAAGAGTGACAAAAATCAAAAACAGACCAAATCATTTTTTGTTTTTAACTCTTTTTTGCCTCAGTTTGTTTTGACATGAAAATGAAAGTTTTTATTGTTTTTAAGCTTTTCTCTGAAAATGTATCTTGTCTCAACTAAAAATATGTTGTAGCTTCTGTGGTTGTAAAATCTGAAACTGAATTCATAAACCAAGCAGTGGTGCTCTTGCTCAGCACATCTAGAAAAAACAAGGATCTAAAACTGAACCTTATTTGTTACAAAATGCAACAATTTAACCTGCAGCTACAGTTTGAGATGTTCTGATTCTACAGAGCTTTTATCACATCCAACCCAAAAAATCCAGTCTGTTGCACTGAGATTAGACCAACACAGGATGGTGCAAAGTTATGTAATAAAAGGAAAATCATAGATGAATTTCAAATATTTTAATAAACACAGTCTTGCAGAGTGTGTGTATTTGTCTTCTGTTTCAATTGGACCAGAACTCCAGAACCACCTGGTTAAAGGTTCAGGCTTTTGGGATTTTTCTTTACTGGGTTTTGAAATTTTTCACCCTTTGTGTTTTGTGTGCATAAAACATTTCAGCAACAAAGCAGTTCAAACTGCTTTATCCCGTAAACAATAAATTAAAAGTCATAAAAATGTCATACAGTTGCTAATTGAGAACCAATAACAAACATTAAATCTGTCGAGTGCCATTGTTGTGCACCTAAACATGTCATGGTATAACCTATGTGAGATGGGAGCAGAAGTGGCGAAGGGGAACCTTTGTTTGGGGGGCGTTGCTTCCGGGTTGGTTCTGCGGCGGACTTCCTGTTTGCCTCAGATGTAGCCTGGATGCTAAAAGCAGGTTTAGGTTGTCATTGCCGAGTCCTGTTTCACTATTCTCCAGGTCAGTGCATGGTAAAAACTCACTAGAACTACTCTGTAGGATCTCTTATTTGACCAGCAGATGGCGCTGGTTCTGTGCACCTTTCTGCTAACAGTTTTATGAGGCCCAGATCGGCGGGACGCCAACCCGCGCTGGGGAAGTCAGGTGATTAAAAGTCTTACCAACTCCGGGTTTTAGGATTTTTATTCTGCTTTTGTTTGAATAATGTACATTTATGTTGCTTGGTGACTCATAAAGTAGTTTAGAGCCTGAAAGTAAAGTGAGTCCAGTTGACGTTAAAGGTAGAGAAACTATTCTTTGTTCATGAATTCAGAGGTTAAAGTTGGAACAATGCTAAGTTAAATTCTTTAGATGTTAATATGCAGCTGAATGCAGGAAAGATTTATCCTGTTTAATACACTGTGCCTTGGTTATCTTCATGTAAGTGAAAGATGATAATGTGAAAAAGGGTAATGTGTGAAATTAATTATTACTTGTGAACAAGGTCTATGAAACAAAGGTGATGTGAAGCATTAATATTGTGCACTGTAAAAGGTTTGTTGGTTAAATAAATGAGACGATTCGGTTTTAATCGCTGAATCCAGTTTTGTCCTCAGTCTTCGTCCTGGGACCTGTTACACCACCACCGAAGTCATCAAATATGTTGGTTAATATTCCATTTATTATGGGTCAAAAAGGACCTCAGTGTTTCAGCTGCTTGCTGAAGACGACATATTCATCAAGCTGCTTTGCTCTGCAATCTAACGTAGCAAACACAAAACGAGCAAAAGACCGAAGGACCTGTCCAGCAGCCCTGAGGAAACTGCTGCAAAAACTAAAACCAGAAGGTGTGAGGCAACATTTGGGCTAAACGAATGTAATTATTATTTAATACTGAATAAAATTCTAAAATTTTATCTTTTTGTTCATATTTTTGCTTGTGGGGCTGAAGAACATCTGGAGTTGAATTGTCATTGAATCACAAGCAGTAATGAGACTTTTGGGGGAAATTTGTCAAATCTTATATTTTGGGGTCTCAGAGGAATGGGGCTACATTTTTATTTGGCAAAAAATGTTAAAGTTTTTATTTCTCTTCATGAATTCTCACGTTGTGATGTTTTTTGGACAGTTTTTGGAAGAAACTGCAGAGAAAAGGATTGCAGTCAGCACCCAGCCCAGCAGCGCTAACGTCCATCTCACCTGCACTTGTTCTGGTTCTGATCCAAACAGTGGGTCCAAACAGCCCCCTCATGCTGCCTGAGGCTTTGCTGTTAAACTGCTGACAGATACGACTGCAGTGGAGTAAAATGTTGCACAGTTACGTTTATTTAACGTCCAATGCAGCCAAAATAAAGTAAGTTGCATTTTTCTTTACGTTTGTAAAGTTTCTTCTAAACTTTAAGTGCAGATAAATCAGTGGTCATGATTTTCAAATCTCCAGAAGAACTTTGGTGTGTGTGTGTGTGTGTGTGTATGTGTGTGTGTGTGTGCGCGTGTGTGTCTGCGTGTGTGTCTGCGTGTGTGTGTGTGTGCATGCGTGTGTGTGTGTGTGCGCGTGTGTGTCTGCGTGTGTGTCTGCGTGTGTGTGT